GCAATCCAAGTCATACAATTGAGCAAAACGCACAACTATTTCTTGCACAATATATTGAATTCACAGAAATTCTCCGTTTATTCGAAATAGGTCTACAACTAGTTAGTGAAGAAGAAATTCGTAACACAATTCAAAAGCAATTGATTGAAGATCCTACTGGCAACATCAAACACTCGAATTTTTATACACTCGTCATAGTTAATCAACAGTTCTATCAACTTCCACCACAAACAACAACAGTTGAAGATAAATGGGCATTTAAATGTAAAGGGAATCCGATGATTGAAACAAGTTTGATGAATTTAATTGAATTAATTCTTTCATCACCAATTATCGATCGTACAAATAGTATTCAACAAGTCACAACAATCTACAGTTTAATAGCACAGAGTGCTCGTGATCTACCATCGTATTTGATCAATAATCTTGAAAAACTTCGTTCATTTATCAGTCTTATTCGATGTCTCGCTGCTCTACTTCCTGATAAAGCTCTCGATGTTTTCAAACATGTTTGTAGGCAAGGTTTCGATGCCAAATTCGACTCATGTCAATCGATTCATTTATTTATCACACATCTACAAGATGTCATCAGAGCGGAAAGATCCACGGCTGATCAGAATGTTATTCACCGAACATTAGTCAAGCTTGAGGTCGAATTCTTGAAAGATTGGTTAGCTGATAATGGTGATTCGTATGGGGAAATTTTAAATTTGATGAATCAAGATGATAATGATTTGTGGCATTATTCAGCTAAATTCTTTACATATATCGATCGTAAACTTGATTTGCTGTCAACATTAAAAGAAAATAATGGAAATTTACCTTTCAATGATCAATACGAGGAGCTTGATAACTTCTTAGAAAGGACAAAAAATCCAAATAATAAAATAGAAAGATTAATGATGAATCGGCTCCATATGAACTTGATGCGGAATGCTCCAGGACATGAAATCGATAAGCAACTAAAAGAACATTTTGATCACTTTCGACAGAATTTGCATGAAATCCAAAATATAGAAAAAGTATACGATATAAAATCGATCTCAATGCTTGCTTGGCTCAAATACTATGCTCAAATATACGGATTTGCTTTGAATGCTGACAGTGGAACAGATATTCTGCCTAGAATCGATCAACTATTAACAAATATCGATACTCCATTTTGTTCAACACTGAAATTGTTCATTCTTAAACAAATGCTACAAATATCAGGACTTAATCTAAACGATATGCGTACGATCTACGTCAATCGTAATGTTATTTGGATTAAGCCATTGCTTGAACGCCCTCGAGATCAGCAAACTCAAAACATTCGTCGAATTCTTATTTTGCCAACTCCTCTTTTCGAATGTCAAAAGGAATTTAAACGAGTTAGTGAAATTCTCAATGAAGTAAACAAAACAAATGAATTGCGTCAGCTGATTGGCCAATGCAGTACGTCTCAAAAGTTTAGTTATGCCGTTTTGTGTTGGTATATTCAATACTATTGTCGTTTTATGGAACCAAATACGAAAGTTGATGATACCTTTGTTCAGGATATCGATCGTAATTTGAGCCAAGATATTATCCGTTCATTTACACAATTGGGACATCGATTTCTCGTTTCTCTATGTACAAATTTTTCAGAGAATTCTTATTTTCGTCTTCATCCTGCCATGCCACCAAACGAAATTCATCAACGTTTAATTGCTTTAAATATTGTCGCTTTTTTTATATCCTTAAAATCACTACCAGAAATAACATATCTCGGAAATATTCTTTTTAATAATCAACGGCAAATGCCTAACAATTATGGTGAGCATCTTTCAACGGTCTGTTTACCCGGTATGATAATCAGCGATCCTGCCATTACTCAAATGATGGATGTTCGTACTCAAATTCAAGATCGTCTCAATCGAGGTGTTATACACGCTGCAGGAAAATACATTTTTCAATGTTCACGGGACTGTCCGTGGATGTTCTATTTTCAAGATTGTGGTGTTCCAAACGATCGCAATAAATGTTCATTGTGTAAAAAACCGATCGGTGCCGAACGATACAACGTTCTCATTCAACGTGATCCTCCTCAAATCCAAATGTCTGTTGACGAAGGCCTTCGAGTAATTAATCAGTATATCGATCGATACAATCAAAAAGCTCGTCTTGGATATCATAATGTCAATACTCATGAAACGAGTAATACTGGAGATAAACCTGATCATTTGAATCGACCTGTTTCATTTCGTTTTATTCACTTTCTCACACATGGACTTCTACTCTTTTTGCATGATCGTAATTATTTGACCGATGATGATATAAAACAACGTTTCAAACTATCAAAAACAACACATCTTCGTGATCATTTTGAAAAAGATTATGCTCTTCTAGTTCAATCATCGACAGATAGCAAACAATGTTATATTTGGCTGTATAAACTTCTCGAACATCTGATTAATGATGAATTAGTTAAGCGTGGTGTTATGAATACAAATGAACGTGTTCTTCAAATAGAACAACTTATTGAACAGAAAATCATCTTTGCACATATCGATTCCATAACCACTGAAATTACTGAATATAAGAAAGCCTATGCTGAATTTATTCAAGAGCGTGATTCGAAACCATCTTTAGAAAGCTTCATCGATGAATTATTTGAAGATGAAAAACAATATCCTCTG